GCGCTGCCTCATGGCGTATTGCATTAACACCTGCCTCCTACACGTACTCTGCTCACAAAGAACATGACAGTTTAGCAGGAAACGTTCTCATCACATTCAGCTTGCCGCACTCACCAACCAACGAGAAAGAGAAGGTAAGCAGAGCGAGAGAGTGAAGGAGAGAAAAAAGGACAGAACTTCTTCTCTGGTGTTACTGAAATGAATGAGTCACTTATTCTTGTAGGAACAGTGCTGTGAAAAAGTCAGAGACCACCCTTCATTTCAAATGAAGTTCACGTTATTCATTTTTCAGGTGATGTTTCTGAGGAGAATAGATAGAAGATCATCCACTTGAACAAGGAAGGAGAAAATCAAAGAACGAGGGCTAAAAATGATTAAAATGAGCCTCTAACAACTGTGCAACACCTGGTAGACCATCAACACTGTCCCCATCAGATAAACAGTGCTTTCGTCTTTGAAAGAGAGGAGAAAATCAAGCTCATCCTTCCTCCGTGAGAAGGAGGAGAGGGAGAAAAAGGAGGAGGAGGAGGAGGAGGAAGAGGGGGAAATAACAACAATAACCATAAGATGAAGAAGGAGTAAGAGGAGGAGAAGAGGAAAAAGAAGAAGAAAGGGGAGCAAGAGGGGACAAAAGAAGAAAGTAGGAGAAGGACGACGAGAAGGAGGAGTAATGGGGAGAAATAAGAAAAAGGGAATAAAAAAAGACGCAAGCAGAAAAAGGAGAAAAATAGAAGAAAGAAAAAGGAATAGAAGAAGGAAGATGAGGAGAAGGAAAAGAAAGAGGAGGAAGAGCAAAGAAGGGGACAAACAGAAGAAGGGGAGGAGGAGGAAAAAAGAGGAGGAGAAGGAAGGAAGTGGGAGGAGAGAGGGAGGATCAAAAGGAGAAGAAGAAAAAGAAGAAGGTTTTGGTCATTTTTGCTCGAAGAACCTTTTTTTCAGTGTGTAGAGCTATGAGGCTAATGTAGCTAGCAAGTCCATATCACCTGAAATCACTTAATAGCCTAAAATATTAGCCCTTATAGCTCCAGTACAAAACTAAAGAAGCAAACCTCTACATTTGAGGCAAAGAGAAACTTGCCATACCAGAACTATAAGTGCAGGACAGGCCTGGATTTTCTACCACAACGCCACTGTTCCACTGAGTCAAGTGTTAGAGTACTGACCTCTGTTTAGCCTAGCCAGACTAAGTCTGCCAAGATCATATACTGAATAAGTGAAAAGAACATAACCGAAACCACTTTTGGAAGACTCCCAGGTATTTTCCAAACTCATTGCAGTCATTCACTACTATGCTGGAGTAGCAGCACTGTCATCGCAGGGTAAGAACTGTCTTCATGGACAGTTACAGCAAGGACAGCACCTCATTACAGGGCTTCAGAACATTCCCCTAGGCTGAGGGCATCAGCATTCACGGAAATTGATTTGACTGGCGCACCTGACTGAAACTATTCTGAGCTACTGATTTTAACTCAGGGTCGCTGTGAATAATCATGACATTGTGTTTATACAGTGCTTATCACTTGCGTGAGTGTAAAGCAGGAACAATAAGACCATGCCGTAGCTGTTGTCGTTATGATGTAAGGGGACATTTACCTGATACAATGTAAATATCTGAGAAATCTAAGGGGGTTTCCAGAGGAGTGTAACAGTTCTGTGATTCAAATGCTGCCCTTTACCATGGTTCTGAGAACGTCTGAGCACTTTTCTTCTATAATTACAACATAAAAATGTCAAAAATGGTAAAGTTTGTCCTATTTTATATCTGGTTCTTCGGGGAGGCTCCGAGTGCTCTTCTGTCATGTTGAAATATGGCTCGTCGCTTGAAACGAGGCAGTCACACTGACTTCAAGTGGCTTTCATAGCTACATGAATGTTTGATGCCTACAGATTTTTAATGAGCCTCATCGGTCCCCATCCGTCCTTACACGGCAACAGAACAGATAAAAAAATCCCCCCCGTTTCTCTTTCTGTCATCTTTAATGTCAAACAGCGCTTACCTGAAAGACACGACTGCAGTGCTTGCCAGCTCCTCAATGGAACCTGAACTCTCTTTTGCTGGACTTTTCTCTGTGAACGGCAAACAGAACCGACTGACTAATATAGAAGAGGATGTGATATGCCCACAACGTCTACAGAAGAGGCTTTGGCTAATGATCTATGCCTGGCCGATCTAGTCAATTACTTACTAATGAGCTGACCCACAGCCTCTGTGTGCCGGCTGACCATGGAGGAGTAATTACCACACACTGATATGCTTACCTCAGCCTCGGAAACACACCAGACTCATAACGCGGGGGTAGTTTAGAAATTCTGAAGGTTTATTAAATGTCACTCAGAACATTGAAACACGTTTTATAGATTAAAACAAAAAGAAAGAAGGAACAGAAACCCAAAGAAAGGAAGAAAGAAAGAAACGTAGGCCTACAAGACGAGAAAATAAGTTAAGCTGGGATATGAGAGCCTGTATTGGAGCATGCCGAATGCTGAATGATTGAATTTCCTTTAAGAGAAAGTGCTGATCTGGTTCTCATCCTGTTCCATTCATTTCCAAAACTCTGCATCCCTCTTTTATTTGGTCGTAGAGATGGAGGGGTTTCTGTCTGAGAAGGTGAAGGATGCACGAAAAGAACAGAGAAGCAAAAGCACCCGTTCGTATTTCTGCAAAGCAAAGACACGGGCAATTTCATGCTCAGGGAATTTGCATGGATGAGTGGTAAAGGCCTATGGGAGACTGGTGCAGTGTGAGACACCACCAGTAGGGGGTCCTGAGGCCTAGGGAGTCTCAGAGCTCAGCCTTTCCCTGGAAGGACTGTGTTCTCTAGTTTTGCATGGTGAAGTGACTGTGAGCTTCTGCCTATTTGGCCAGCCTAAAGTAGCTGCAAACTACTCTCATCTTTAGCAGTCAAACGCAGGGTAAGGAGACTTAAGCGAGTTGGTCTGTGAAAAGCTTTTCCCGCACCGCTAAACCTGGTGAAATAGTCCAGGTAATGGCATTAGGTTTGTTGTCGCATGCTAGAATATGGGAACACTTGCAGCACAAAAAGCCCTCCACTCGCGTCTGAGGGGAATATTTTAGCTGTCAAACCCATTCCATCTATAGGGCATCATCCTCTGTAAAAAATCATTTCATCTTGCCAGCAATGACTGCTAGCTGAGGCCCCAGGCTCTGCTTATTGAGAGAGTTAATGTGTCATAATCTTGGACCTGTCAGCTTGCCTGAGTGCATTACTTTTGAAGGGCCACTGACAGTTATTCATTCGACTGTAATTCTGAGTTCCTCTGACAGTGAGTTAGCTTTCCAACACATAAATACTGGCCTTTTACCAGGAATAAGCACAAATTCCTTCTTTAATTTTCAATGTTTGTAAAAATAATGTGACTAGAATTTGCAGGGCTTCTTCATTTCCATTATGAAGAATGAACTCTTTCCTTTCTCACTATTTCAATAGAAATATAAAGGTGACACATTTTTATGGAAACACAGGGTTTTTTTTTAGTTTAAAGTGCAGACACCTTCCATCTCAGACAGTTATCATTTTACAATTACATCAAATATCATCATAACAAACAGGTAAAATAAGAAAACAGACGTACACGTTTCTTAGACTGTAACACCGAACTGTGCGCAAGGCCATAACCCATTCAGTATGAGCTGATTTTGATCAGGGAGAATTTACAGTGAAATCAGCTGTTACGTTTTCAGTACCAAGGTACAAAAACAAATGTTTTAAGTACTGAAACTGACATAATCAATTGTTTATAAATGAACTACCAAATAATTAAATGGCTGGGTGGACACTGTAAACTCGGTTTGATTAAGAGAAGCATTTCTTTGCCAAGAGAGGGACGGTTGTAATTGCCCAAACTTTATGAGGCATAGGTAGTTTGTATTTGAGCAATATTGGACATGTCCTTACCTTAGGAGGTCCTTATAGTGGACCTCCTGATCTCTCCTTATCAGATGCAGCTGAAAAAACAACACATACACCTCTCAGTGACCTGATGTATGCGGGTAATATACAGTGGATGAGATGTGATGGACATTTTCCTTTACAGTGTAAATAAAGACAGGCCCAGTAGGCTCTGAGGGCTAGTTTCCCAGACGTAGATTAAGCTAAAGCCTCAAAATGATGTAAATACTGAGAAGATCTGCAGTCTGCTGTGCTCTGTCAGCCATCTAGTAGTACAGTCATAGCACTCCACCACAAACTAGTACTATTTTAAGAACATTTCAATAAATTCCAGGATCTTCAACAACATTTCCATAAAATGCTACAGTGATGCATCCACATTTTCACTCTGGGTCTGCATGAGAAATTCCTCAACAACATGATGAAACGAACGCTCCATGAATAGCGGCATTGTATCTTTGGAGCACCTCACCGCTCCATTGATAAGCCTCGCAGTAACCGTGCTGTACGCTTTATGGTGCCATTGAGTTGTCAGGGTGAAAAATTGTTCTGATTGGACCCATCGCTCTGAGAGTCTCCACGGTGACTGTCTTCCCTCTCAGCATCCCTGCAGGTCAATTATGCATTTTGGTCGACGTGGGGGCAGCCGGTTTTCTCCTAGTTACCGAAGCAGGGGTGGTATGCAGCGGCGCAAACCTGACACACCCAGCTACTTGACAAAGCATTAGCTGAAAAGATGACAAAATAAAACAATAGAAAAGCTTGTCTTCTGTCTCTAAGACAACCCTGGATCTCTGTGGGTAAGAGGGATAATTCTTTGTCTTTTGAAACAAAAGTCTACACATAATCCTTGCTAAGTTCCACAGCTACTGATTTTTTTTTTTATTATTTATAAATTTTATCAACAAGTATTTTTTTAAAGGACAAGAACTTCATTATTTCATAATAATATTCAGAGAGGTGACCAGGAGAGCGAGAGCAAAACAGTTGCCTAATGCGCTTCAGCACTAACACTGCACTACGAGATGGGTCGGGGTGGGGTACTTTGGAAAGAGGGCTTAAAACAGAACCACGCAAAATTGGAGGGGTGCATACTACATCATCACACAGTTCTCACACATTTCTGTAGTTAGTGTCTCTAACACCTACAGGCCTGCTCTCCTCCGTTTCTTTTGCATTGTTGCCTTTGTTTAGTCCATCCTGTGGTCCCCTCATTTATTCTCCTCCCGGGTGGGCCTGATCTTCATCTCGGTGAATTTGAGCGAGTACTGCCAGCCCGTCCAGGAGGACCACTCGATGCCGTCGGCGTAGGACGTGTGCTGGCCGCGCAGGTATTGTCCGTTCAGGTTGGACGTGTGGCAGTTGCGGTACCACCATGCTCCGTGATAGAAGGAGGCACAGTTGTTCTCCGAGTGATCGTTGTCCTTGTCCTTTGTGGTGAACTTCATGCCGTTGTGTTTGAGCAGTGAGTCACCTAAGACATCGGAGAAAGAGAGAGAGAGAGAGAGAGAGAGGATAGGGGTGTGAGATAGTGACAAAAAGTAGGGAGGAAAAGGTAAAAAACACTACTGAATGACTGGGTCCTATTACATTTTATTATGCAATTTAACGACTGAATAAATGAGATTGATTCAACAGTGGAAACAGAGCTGAATGCAATTCACTGTGTCAAACCACACATAATCCTCATAGCGTCTTTGCTTTGTTGCACACAATCTGCTGATACATTGTTAATTAGCTTATGAGTACTTAAAACATGCCAACACAGCTTAATCTTCTAGTCACAAACTTATGCTGCATTTATATTATGATGGTAAACAGACGATTGCAAACCAAATACTCCCTATTATTGAAAGGATCAGAGATGGAGAATTCTGCCATGACAAAGGCAGCATATCGCAGCGGACAAGAGCTCTATTTTCCCAACTTTTGCCATCAGCCGCCGCAGTGAAATAAACCGGATGTTGATTTTTGTGGAAATGCAGGTACTCTGGATGAACCAGTTCATCAACAAAATGCAGGACTAGAAACATTTGCATGTGTTCAAAACAATTTTTGCATAAAACAGGGCTTACACCATCATCCAGCACACAGGCAGGAACACAGAGATGTGCATTCTGAGTAATTTTAACATCTGAGTGTCTGTAAGAGTTCATGATCGGATATCTGTAAACAGCGCTAAAAATAATAATCATTCAGTTGAAACTAAAGCAGGACCGTAGGCTTACCTTTTTAGGTGGACTTTAGGAGAGGAACACGTTTCACAACATGTTTTCATTATTCAAAAACAGGTGAGGGGAAACTGGTATGTTTTTGTGTGGGGTGAGGAACATTAAAGAGACGGCCTCAGTTAACTACAGCTAACTGGTACAACACTGGAGGCTGATGGAAAATCATCTCCTTCTACAGGATTTTTTTTCCTCTTCACTGGACGATGTGTCAAGATGTTGTAAGAGAAATATATTTAAACTGTTTCTGGACCCAACTAACATCAGCCTAGCCTATTAGCAATAAAAGCTGCACTATCTCTGCCTTCTCAGTCAACACGTCCCTGGCAACTCACCCACATTAAGGCAGAGTACAACATAACATACTTACTCACAAATTTGAATATGAGTAAAACTGTTCTACTGAAACATAAAATCAGCTTTTCACTGGAATGTTGGTCTCTGTCTTCCCGTGATGAAATACAACGAATATCTGATTTCAGTATTCAAATTCTGCCAATTTAAATGATTAACTGAGTATTAGTGCTGTCACAGTCACAAAATATTAGATGACAATTAATTGCAGCATAAATAAGTGTGATTAACAATTTTATTGTCTTTTTTGTTTCATTGTATGCAACTGCAATTCTAAAATGGCCAAATAAACTGATTAGTCAACTTGTTTCCCAGCTGTTTACTCAAATGTCTACAGTTAAACAGAATCTTGTGTGGAGTTAGTCAAAGTGAAATTTACTTGAATGAAAATATAAGCAAAGACACTCATTCTGCGAGCACACATGCTAAAAATGTTGGAATTAGCTACATATCTAACAAAATAAAAACCAAACATTACTCATGCTGCCCTCTAAACATGTTAAAGTACCAAGTTAGAAGAACTTTTATTGAGTGTTCATGAGTCCCATGGTGTCTCAACGCATTTACTTTTTTTATTTATGTGCCTCAATCCCATCTCAATCAAGCTCATATTTAGCTCATTGTGCCATAACATGACTGTGAAATCTAAAGTTTGGGGAAAATGACTGCAGTTAGTTTAAATAATTGCGATTAGGTGATTATGTAATCATTGTGACAGGCCTACAGAGTACTTGTGCACATCTTTAAAGAAAACTACTGTTATTCCATTAATGCCATTACCATGGCTACATTTACATGGCTGCATACTGTCTTTGGTCGCGCACCATCGCTGATTACATCAATTCTGCTACGAGGTACGAAACAATGTTTTTTTGTCAACAGTTAAACGCAGCATCAGACTTTAGCCAGCCAGAGGATGGAATAGATAAGACTTAAAAGGAAGTTTCTTTATATACATTTTTTGTCATAAGAAAAAAAATGTCACCATTTGAAAACAACTACCCCTTACATTGTGTACAAAATTTACAATGAGTGGACCAACAGAAACTGTCCAAAAACCTTTCAAATTTGTTTAGGTTAATGAAGTTTTGTGAAAGTCTCATTTCATGGGAAATATTTTTTTTTAAATGAAAGAGTTGGATGTAATACACAAACTTTACACAAAATTTCAAAACAATTCATCCCTCATTCCATACAGCTCACACAAGGAAGCTAAACTGCAAACGTGTTCAAGTTTTGGTTGTTTTGGTTGGTTATGAAAACCAATGAAATAGAGGTTGTAAAATGGTCATGTAAAAATGAATTAGGACTGTTTTAGGGACACAAACCCACACAAAAATGGACCTCAGGGAAAAATAAAATACAACAAAAATGTAGGACACAGCCACTTAAACGTTTTTTTCCTTCCTGTTCCTATAGGTTTATCGTGTCTAAGCTTTTCACATGAATGCAACAAAAGGAGATAAGAATATAGGATAAGTGCAGCAGGAAGACAACACAACAGGCCAGAAGAGGAAAAAGAGAAAGATGGAGAGAGCAGAGCGGTTAATGTGCCCTTTTTAAGCGGCGTGATGGACTGCATGGCTCGTGAATGTAATGTTGCTGTGAGCGCTCAGGCTAATCTAATCCCGGCTCTCTGCCTGTACACTGCCAGGCTCTGCTGAACCCAGGCCCTGCTGATGAGATCAGCCTTTATTACCAGCGTTACAGTGAAGCCACGACTCTGTGCTCCACAGATGCTGATTCCATTCTGCGGCAGCATGGATCACACTAGCCCTTTTATTTCTACCAAGGAGATCCCATTGATATAGTTATGTCATGTCATAAAGCAGAGTTACACGTCATAAATTCGTTTCAGGTGCCTCGTGGATTCATCAGCATGTTCTATGAGGTGATGAATGACCAAAGTGATGGTACCAGTAAAACAATTGAATGCTGGAGTGTAAAAAGGGATTGCATTAACTTTAAGTAATGAGAGTGACTCAGGGTCTTTTGGTTGAAATATGGCACCATCTGTCTCACCCTGGCATGCTGAACACCTACTCTACTTCCACTATGTAAAACCCCTTTAATGCTGGGTGATACTGGTACAATATCATGGTATCAGAGGATATTTAAATTTGTATTAATACAGTTAACAAACCGTTCCTGAACAGTACATACAGTACTGCGAAAAAGTCAGAGACCACCCTTCATTTATCTAATTTCTAGTCAAAACAGCTATTAAGTACAAATTATTTAGTTCAGAAGATTTCTGGGGAGATTCTGTATAAGATCATCCACTTGCAAAGAGGAAAAGGGATTCCTAAAAAACATACAAGACCTGGTAAACCACCAAAACTGTCACCATCAGATAAACAGCACTTAAAGCTTTCATCTTAGAGAGAGAGGAGAAAATCAAGCTCCACTGTTGCTTCAGATCTAAAACAAATTCACAGATGTTTTTATCTATCCTTCCACTGTAAGAAGACAACTCAGCCTTATGAGTCAGAAAGGATGTGTAGCTGTCAAGAGTGAAGGAATTAAAAGGTAGACATTTTTGGCAAAGAAGCTGCTGGTGTTTTCAGAACAATGGCCTGACCACTCCAGAGTCCAGACCTCAATACAATGGAATGTGTTTGGGATTACTTGGATCACAAGAAGCAGAAAATCCAACCGTCAACTACTAAGACTGAACTTTAGAGGTCAGATTTCTCTGAAAATCTGGAAGCTAGTCTCTTGAAAAGTATGGAAGCTGTAAAAAAAGTCAAAGAGTGGACACACTAAATACTGAAAATTATAAAATATTGTTATGTTACACCAATATTGCTATACAAGTGTAGGCGACATAACTCCCCGCAGACTAAAATGATTTTTTCACTTTTCCAAGACTTATTTTATTTCAAGACCAGGCGTGATGGCACAATAAACCATCTGAGCTGATGGCTACTGCCCTCGAGCAAGATGGCTAACCTTAGGCTGCTGTGGGAGGCTATCCCAAATTTGCTTCAGGCAAAGCATTAGGTAGAAGTAAGGGCTCTCCATACTGGAAAGTATGATGCAGTTACATTCTTTTCCCTCTCAACATGCTGCACTTTTGGGTGGAATCCTCCTTTAAACTCCCTCAGGAGCAAACTCGACTGTAGGTGGGTATTCGCGAGGCAGTGCATTTCAAAGCATAACACGTCTTTGATCGTGTACAAATTGATACCAGAATATTCTACACATACACCGAGTCAATCATTTTACCAAAACATTTGCTCTCAGTAGAACAGCCTTCAAAGCTCCAGCACCTGAAAGGCTGGGTGAAGCGTGTTTGCGTGAAGGTAGGCCACAAAATTCAAATCAAACGTCTTGGGACGGACCCACCTACCCATGAAAGCAATACGAGTCATTAGGCATGCACAAGAATCCATAAACAGGCTCGCGATGAATACATTAGAACATCAGAGGAGAATTATGCATGCCTCCACTCGGACAAGCATTGTTACAAAATTATCAAACGCTGGCGTATAATTCCGTTCCTCTTTTCCTGGCCTTCCTAATGGCAGAGAAAACATTTGCGTGTGGCAGCAAAACTGTCATTAACACTACCTTTGAGGTTGGAGGAGCTGGAGCAACTGGAGATGTTTGCTAAGAACGGGCTATGAAGGTTTAGAACCCTTATTTCAGGTAATTGCACGTTTTCATACATCTTTCTGCTCCCTCTACATCTCTCTCTCTCGCTCACTCTCTCTCCGCTCCTGCATCATATGGGTGCTTCATTAACGAGCACATCATTAAAGATCGCGAGCACACATACTGTTTGCTCAGAACGGAATTATGACTCAGTGGTCCCATCGCAGCAGAACAGCGTGTGATGTACAACAAAAGACACTTATGCAGACAAAAGGCACCTATTATCTGTTCTGACATCATGGATTAATGGGCAAATTACACCAAGTTTAAGAGAGTCAATCTAGTGGAATTAATGTACAGGCCTAGTGCACGCCCCACCAATGTCTTTACTGGAGGTCTTTCAACTAAACTGCTGCCACTTTCTATTGCTTTCGGCAGCTGCTAGTGTCTGGTTGGCCCACACAGAATTGCCCATGCAAGTACGTCCTTCCAAACAAGAAGCCCGGGGGGACTGTTGGTGAATAACTCTCATACGCTGAACTGCTGCCTGCCATTGGCAGTGGATCACAGCTCCAGCAGGCCTCATCCCCTCAACCCCCTGTCGGAACTTTTCTTTTCTCATTTCAGTGATGGCTGGGCTCTCTAGAGCGGCGGCCTTCCATTTGCTGGACAGACTATTATTTAAGTTGTCGAGGGTACAGGCCTTCTCGCCCCCACACGACCTCAATCTGCCTTTTAGAAAAGTTGCTTCATGGGTTTGTGTTTGTTCTTTTTTTATCCATGAAACCATTTCACTCATCCAGCATTTTGGCTAGCAATGTAGAAACCCTGAAGATGGAAGTTGAAATATGTGTCAAACTGAAATGAAGCATTTCACTGAAATGACCTTTTTTATTATAGCCTTACTTACACTTCTTATACTTGATAAAATCTCTCTCTCTTGCCTCCTAAGTTCGATTATATTAGTACTTTGGATCCTGCTGGTAAGCGAAAGGATTCAGTCACGTGGTAGGATGATCAATATACTATATTTCCTTACATTTTATTATATATGGCATGTGATTACTGTGACAGAAGCTAGTAGACAAGACTGTTAGGCTGACTCAGCCATTTACAAATATTAAAAAGGTCCATTATTTTAAATTATTTTTCCCTCTGCACAGCTTAAGAGGCCTGTGGAACTAAAAACAGTGTTTTTGCATGTACCAGCTAAAAGGAACTCACAAAGGCACTGTTCTTCTTTCTAACTTAATTAGCATCCCTACATAAACAGCTATGTTTATGTTTAGATTTAGCTTTTAGCGTGCATTAAATGTTTAGCACATGCAATTTTAATGACTTAAAAGATCACTGACTAGATCTTGATAAATGTCTTGCCCAGTAACAAGCTTTGTTAGTGGTTCTGCACAAGCTAAGGAAGTCTGTGCAGGACTTCACTAATCACCACTAATACATGCCCTCAGAGTGCTCGAGCGTACTCTTGCAGATCAGAAGACTGTAACAGCACTCAGCTGATAAACAGAGTTTTGAAATGTGAGGATTATTAACTGCATGGCTTGTTAGCATTTCATCCCAACAAATAATTTATAAATTCCAGTGTGTTCCAGATACTTGGAGAGCAACATAAGCTTGCATCACAAAAATCACAACTGAATTCAGACATAAAGGAATAATTTGGGCTAAAACACTTTTTTTTGACACACTCAGTCTACACACTTTTCCACTTACCTCAGATATAGTTAATCAACCGAGACAAAATTTTGCTTCTTTAGCTCAGCGCTGGAGCTACTAGGTTAATGTTGCTAATAACGACCAAAAGTCATTAGTCACCCAAATCGTTTCCTTAAATACATCCCTAAAACTTATCTCATCCTGCTTTAACCGCATCCAGGTCTTCATCAAGGCAAAGCAGACTTGGCATTGTGGTTTGCGGCGCAGTATGACTTACGAACAAATGAACAGATCTGATCATTGATCACATCAGTGCCTGACCTCACAGACGCTCTTTGACTGAATGGGCACAAGGCTTCCCAGAAGAGGCTGTTAAAGCTGTAAAGTGGGAGCCAACTCCATATTAATGCCCATGTTTTTTTAATGGGATGTTCAAAAAGTTCATATAGTAGTGATGGTCAGGTGTTCACATATTTTAGACAACATAGTGTGTAAGTTTACAACTGAAACATTTATATGCTTGTGTGAAATGCATGCAAGAAAATGGGAATCGGATTCTGCAGGACAGTCAGAATTTGGCACAAAACACGGTTGTCTAATATGGCTGCCTTCTGCGTTCAGCTACACAGTGAATGTTGTTCGTTTCACAGGTCACAGTAAGTCATGCTGTGCTCTAAAATCTGTGCGACCTCAATGAAGACCTGGATGCAGTTTTAGCAGACTGAGAGAGGTTTTGGGGATGTATTTATGAAAAAGTTTTCAGGGATTGTTGACATTTAGTGTTTGTAAGCAATGTTAGCCTTGTAGTTCCAGCGTTAAACAAAATTTGGACACCAAACGTAACAGCTTATCTGTTTCTGCCTTACTCCCTGGCCCTTGTCCCCTTTGAGTGCAAAATGCTAACCACCAAAGTGAGAATCACATGTGTTGTGAGCACACCTTGAATTAAAATGCAAAACAAAACAAAAAAAACCCAAAAAACAAGCTTGAATGGATAAAAAAGGAATTTAATGCTGTGTATGTTGTGACGCAGGAACCTAAAGGCATCCTGGCTAATTAGACCAGACCGGAAGCAGCATTCTTGCCCTGATTTATGTTAATAGGAGTGTTTGTTTATGTCTTCCATAATAAGCAAACTGTCCACTTTATTGGAATGCCACAGATGTATTCCGCCACTTCATTATCCCTGCCCTTTCTGGCACACCCCGAAGGTCAGCTGCGGGCCTGGGCCCGGTGAGAAGGCCAGCAGCAGGGGGGCAGAACCCGGGACTGATAGAGTGCAGGGACCCAATTAATGTTAAAAAGAGGCCCTGGCGGCAGCACAGGTGAAGCATGGAAAATCGCTCCTCTCTCTGCCTCGCTACAGCCCGAGATAACCAGCACCCACTTGCATGCATGCAACACAGTGGAAATACATACCTTATTGTATCAGCATTGACAGGGCTGGAGGCTTTAAATGAATCTATGGATTTTTATTATACTTTCTATTCTTAGGTTTCTCTTCTGAGCAGAGTGAAATTAAAGGTCAATTTCTTCTGAATGTGAAAACTCATTCTTTCTTGAAACAAATGCCCAACTAGGCTGAATTTCCACATATACTCTCTCGACCGAAGAAAACAGAGAATGGATACTACGTCAATATCCAGTGAATTTTAGAATATCCTCACACTACTCACTCTTTCCAGCAAAGCGTTCACACTTTATGAAATATGACCCTTCTAGGCACTGCACTAAACTTCCCGTCAATAGAAAGAAGCAAATTTCCAGAGAGCCTGAACTCTTGCTCAAAGCCGCGTACTGTTTCAAATTCACAAAACAGACCTTGACAGAACATAAGATAATGTATTATTCTGAATTCCATTTTAGCCCTTTAGCCAATATTCCCTTTTCCATCTCATAATGACAGATGGTCTAAAAATAAACCACTTTTAACTCCAGTTATTTCCTTACAGACAGGGCATAGCAAACGTTGGCCTATTCTTGCAATCTTTGTTCCAGATGAAAAAAAGCTGTGTAGAGTGCAGTTCGGTTATACAGCATGTGTCTTTAGACTACAGAATGCATCTCTGAAAGGGTTCCTCCTGCCCCATAAATCTAATAGATGCAGTCTGGAATATAGAGCTCTCAGCACAGCAGCTGAACACTAAAACTCTCGGACAAAGAGGGACCGTACCGGCTGTGCCAGAGTAGTCTGTTACGCTCAACGGGTAGCCATCCTCGTCGGGGTCGACCGAGAACAAACCCACTCCAAAAGATCCGTACTGCGCGAAGGAAGTGCTGTTCTCGAAGTCCTCCAGGTCAATCCTCAGCTCGTAGTTAGCTTGAATGGTGAGAGTGTGGATCCGCTTCAGACCTGAAAAACAACAGTGAGGTCAGGTCAGAAACTGCTGGGCTGGATATAAAAAGTTACATAATAAAACGAAAGTTTTAGTAAAAGTACTTTTGAATACAATTTACAAAGTTAGTCTGTGCTATGTGGTGTCAGGCAGTGATCCCCAACCCCAGACCTGGAGATCCAGCTTTTTGCAAAGTTTAATTCTACAGATGAACTAATCAATATCTTTAGATGGCCTTGATTAGTTGGATCAGATGTGTCATGGTTATCACCGGTAATCACAACAGCATGCAAGTCATCTGATATTAATTATTTTTCACTTATAGCTCATTGAAAAAAGCAGATTCTAAACTTGTAATGGGCGCCACATTCATCTTTGTAAATATAAGAGGAGACTAGTTGACCTGATTCATCCTGTTCACAGCTGCTAGTGATGGTTTCAATTAAAACGAGGGCGATTCCTGTTTAACAGTGAACAAAACGGCACTCCAAAGAACTCAGGCCACCTTCCTGGGATCAATATTTCTATAGCAGACTCCAATTCCAGTAAGTTTTCACACTTAATATGCCTGACCCTGGCTTCACAGAGAGCAGGTAGGGCATCTGACAGGAAACTAATGTACTTGCCTACATATGAATTCCCTTTGAAGACCATGCAGTGGTCTGAGAGTGTATGTGTGTTACAACAACAGGACAGAAAATCGATATGGCCGAGTTTTGCTGGGCATAATCGAGATTTGCTGTTGCTGTGAAGTGGTTGTATACAGTAGCATAAAGTCAGCCGGAGCGCAGGGGAAGGTGTCAGGTAAGTGTGCTCCATCTGCAGGGGGCCAGGTTTGCCAACCAGAGAGCTTCTCATTTCAAAAACAACATATTGTGCTGAGCAGATGCTACAGAGATGCCAGGAAGAGCTGAGTCATTATTAGCATTAATCGTATAATTAATAAGAAGAGTGTCTTTGGGGCTAAAGAACTTTCTGAATCACTCTCTCATTTTTTACTATTTTTTTCCCACAGCATCCCAAGCACATTTTCAGATCGGTGATTCACACCAGTGGAGGCGCCAGATCGATTTCAGATTAATGTAAATTCCAAAACAACCAGCACTGGAAAATGACCTCAAAAATATGAGACTCCAGCTGAGTGAAAATACACTCAATATATCTAGTTTGGTAAATTAGCTACCTTGCTTGCTAGTGAACTTACTGGCTGACATGAAATATTATAGTCCATCTTTCTGCACTTATGTGCTCACACAGACGTCTACAATTACATAGAATTGTATGGTTTTGTTGAGGCTAGCATGAATAGCGTTAGCATTAGCTTCTTACCTATCTTATGTGGCCTTAGTAGAAATTCTGAAAATAGCAATTGACACATCAATATGTCATTCTAGTTTACATTCTGGTGCACTTACTGATCATGTAATAGTGATTTATCTTCACCTGGAGGAGTAAATAATTTGCTACATTGTCATTGGCTGCAGCTTCACAACAGCCTTGGGTACTGTAAGACACTTTAGGTACCAATCTTAAGCAGGCGCCAAAAGCCGTAAAACTGGAATCTTTGGTACGGAACCAGTGGCCAATGTAAAAAGCACAGCTCCACTTTTCTGGTGCCAAATGTTTTGGTACTTCTGGAAAAATGTCATTAGTGTCCGAATTTTAAGAGCAAATTTCAGAGTGATTTTTTACATTGATTTCCACAATGCACTTGCAATTTTAAGTGAACACTGTAGATTACTGTCAGCTGAATGTGCACCAAAGTGCGAGTCTCAGAGGACAGAGGAATGTTAGCTAAAGTTAATGACAGCTCCTGAGCCACTAAAAACTAAACCCACTGACACATGATGATAACGCGTAAAAGTGTCTAAGTTCATTCATTCACCCCTATATAACACAATACTAATGAGGGATTGGGATCCGTTTTGCTCACAGCCTGTCATTGTAATAAGAAAGATGGTAATAATGTTTCTTATCAGTAAGAAGATGAGTATGGCAAGCCCAACCAGCTGCTGAGCATGTTGGTGGAAACTGCCAAGCATAAACGCCACCCTAATGGCCTCTGTATGGAGCAAATGGATGGGTCATTCACACTGGAAGGTCACTGCTGTTTCGACCCAGGCACCCGCAAATGGAGCACAGCGCCAGTCCAGGGTTTAGAGGGGTAATACATCAGAATCACCAGCCGGCATGCTGTTTTGATTTTATAGGGAGAACTGATGTGTATGAGATTTTTTTTTACAAATCTCTTTAAGACTGTAAAATTTGATTTGTTGTGTTTACCGCATCTGCAGTTTATAGAAGACAATCGGTTAAATCATTGCTGTTGCTATGCCAACTGAACATCAAACACGGTCTGTTTATGATATTACCATACAACGATATATTCAGAACCACTGCCATGATCTGGACTATGAAGATGTAATGAAAACATAGAGGAATAGTTCACTCCCTAACTGAACTGTCCATATCAACATACCTATATATCGGTGGTTCAGCATTGTTTGTTAATACCTGGTGGCTAAAATTTTCAAAACATTTTGTCATGGTTTATAATGCAGTGTCAAAGAGAATGACTTGCAGGATTTCTTTAGCTCAAAGAAAAATGTAATATCATGAAACAACCCTGGAGAGCAATTATACCATATTTATAGTCTTAAGACATTTCACTGCTATACTGGGAGCGTTGCAGTTTCAAATGGGTATTTCTGAACTTTAAGACTTTGCATGTGGAAACTTGCCCCATTAACTTGAAGTCTCACTGCTGCAGTAAATTATTTATTACAGATTCAGACATAGAAATTAGTGCCTGCGATGAAAGACAGACAACATGCTGCAGACACCACAGTATAGGGATGTAGTTTAAATATACTGAAACTAGCCTTTAAATATACGTTTCAACCACACTCCGCCTTTGGCAGAAGTTTGAGCTTTACGGGAAGTTAATAAGAAGTCACGTCTTTCAGTCAGTGTCCTCTCCACACAGCCAGTGTTGTTGACACAAAGCCAGTTTGATATCTGCTGTTTTGGGCATTGATTGCTTTCCCTGACAGGCTGCTTTCTCCTATCATTTTCCTGAGCCTACAAAGCACCCAGCAAAATCAAACACAAACCTTTTGGCCTTTAATATTCTCAGATTTGTAGTGTTTATGAACCAAAGAACTCCTCTGAATTCCTGGCATTATTTAATAAAACAGAGTTTCTATTTTTTTTTCTTTACAGAGAGAGATGACCTTAAGAGTTGGGCCTTGTGTGCATTCACAATATGAACGCTGTGTTTCTGGTAAAAATAACTTATTTCTGTAAAAGAAGATTATTATTTCTTTTATCCAGAATAACAGCAGGAAAAGCTTATCCGAAATGAAGCTACGTTGCTGGCTGCTCCTCACCGAATGGAACTAAATTATAGACAAGGCACCCCAGAAAAAAGTTACATTAAAAATAATCCTACTTTAAGCTAATTATGAAATTCGTCATAATTGGATAGCTTAATGACAATGACAAAGGGTAGTCTCAGGACCCCTTCATCTAATGAATGCTCAACAAGGCTTGCTCACCTAAATGGAAGCTGAAAGCTTGGTCTCTGAAGCGTAGTAGTCTAATGATATTAGATAATGTAGGCAACTCGAGGTCATTAAAACTGCTGGCTCATTTAAACTTGACGAAATGTAAAAAGTAGCCTTAGTCGAACCGCTTCCCCAATAATGGAAGACGTCAGGCATACTTTAAAGGAATGCTTAAAAACTACAAAATTTTGGAAATTAACTATCACGAGTTACTAGAAGGTGAAGCTAAAACCTAATAGTGTGTAAAAGTCTATACAAGCAGTATACAGTTCTAAATGTGGCTAATAACAGCTCAAAAGCATGAGGGACACCTTAAAATGTTAAAACTGATTCTATATAAAACAAAGATATTATAAAAAGATATTATTATCAGGTCAAAGACTCTGCATCCTAAGAAATTACAAATGATGGAGCTACACTTGTTTTGTTGTTTTCTTTATAAATTTCTCTATAAATCACAGTTATATATGAGTTTCAGTCCAAAACGCTGTATATCCATTTTGGATATGGGTCATTCTACAGAACTGTCCATTTTTGTGTCCCTAGCGTTTACGGATATATTGCACTTAAAAAAAACATGTTAGGGTTACAATTTATTTATATTTTAAAATAAAACAATAAGTTATTTTAACAATTACACCTTCCTGGGCCATCAATTTAGCAATATTGGTTTTTAATTCAATTATCTAGAATTCCAAGCACCGTCCCCACAGTCATGTGTAAAGGGTGAGGCCATATTTTGAGGGAAACAAATGTTTTTCTGCAATTTTAACTACAATAATCTATACGTGACTATGGAATATATAAATTAAATGACATAAAGAAAACAAATGTCAAATAAATATTGTACAATATATAATGAAAGTTGTGGTCCCCAGGAGTCGTGTCACTGGTGTTACTGTGTAATATAAAATCTCTTATTTTGAAATAAAAATCACACTGATGACATCACTTGACTTCCTTTTACCAATTTTCTGAAGATCTATGAAGAAAAGCACATGGTAAGTCCACTGTGTCTTTTCAGTTATCAGAAATTTTCTCATTTAGCTCATGATTTCATACGAAGCTTTTAGCTGAAGTCACTGGTGTGACCTACTTTATTCTGAGGTAATTGAACACAAATGGATGAAATTACATATTTTGGTGGATATTCCATGATTGACAACATGTGGTTTGATGCTCTCTAGCAGCCATTTTGCAAAATGCATTTTTCATCAAAAATGTCTCTGCTGTTACTGTCACTGGGGTTACCTTTCTTATGCGTAACACCAATGAGGATTGGTAACACGTGACACCTATGGATAGATAGAAACGTTTCTGTAGAATGACCCATATAACAGGTTTCTGAAAAAAAATCACAGCTGATGTATAATTCAAAACATGTTTTTGTTTCTCTAATAGGTGGTATTAATTGTAACACACCATTAATATTTTTTGTATGTGTAAAGCCC